ATTCATTAGGCCAGTGTCGCGGCCAGACCGCCCACCGGGCCTGAAGGAGGAGAAAAGAGCCGGAGAAAAGGCAGGATGAAAAGGAGGGGAGGGCATGAGGGCCCTGCACTCTCATTCCAAAATGCAACACACCAATTTCCATGTTAATTTTCCCTGTGACAGAAGAGATGGATGTTTGTGACTTGTTGGCTGATGTGGTGCATACATAGATGTTAAAATGGTGTATTATGTAGGTCAAAGACTGTAATGATTTAGAGGCTTACAAGGTTACAAAACACTCAACACATTTAAGTGATGTTACAAAATGATCAATAGTTTTCCATTTATTTTCCACTCACATATATGTGGAAGGAAGGAATTGTTCAACAGACAAACACACTCCACAACAAGGTCATCGTGCTGCATGTCAACTGGCTGAAAGTCACCAATGTTTCCCAGAGACAAAAAAAAAAATACAAGTGATACCACTTGTACCACCATCACTTCAGTATCTGTTGATATAGAAGATGTACACGTCGGTGTTGGAACCACCTGGGAAATGCTGCAGCACTTCCTCCCAGTGAATAGTGCCAACTTAAAAACGTGTAGTTTCACAAGATTGAATAGGGAGAAGAAAACAAACACGATATCTAAAAAGCTGTTCATAACATTATTCTATCATTATCTATTATACTTATATAGTATATTGCATGTTAGGGCAGCGACAACAGGCCCCTTTAAGGAAAAGCAAACATGTGGGTAAATCTGGGGTCCATAGTATGTGGGTGCATGCGTTGACCAGTGGCATAGGGTCAGGTACCAGTTGGGCAGCCACCTCCCGTTCTGAGAAGTGACGTCACGCTAAAGTGTCTTTAACCTGCATTCTCACTATTAACTCCTCTAGTGCTATGAGATAATTAAGTCTTACTCTCTCTTGATTTATTCCCTCAGTAAACATCGTAAACAAGAGTTTATGATCTCAATCTCTAGTTGCAAGTCTAGCTGCAGTCTTCAACACAGCATGATGTTACTTTAGGAAACTGTGGTCCAGTTAGATCCAAACACACAATAAAGGGGATAAAGGGGAATAAAGGGGGATGCTTTAAGGCGGGGCTGCCTTGAGCTCTATATACAGTGTTTCTATGTCAATCCGTATTCTAAATATGCTCCGTTCCATGTGAAAAACATGGTCCACAAACCAACAACAGACGCCATTCATCATGGGCCGTGGACTATATAGGAAGTAGAAGGGGTCGTCTTGACGACTTGATTTTTATGACTTCTTGATTTTGGCAACTCTGCAGAGGACGTAATGTAAATTATTGTTGACCAGAGATGCCCAACAGCCCAATGTCCCAGTGAGCATGCTACAGTGCAAGACGCTGGAAGTGTCTGTGTGTGTGTGTGTGTGTGTGTGTGTAAGCAGTCAAATGACCATGTGTGACTGACAGGGCAATGTTGAAACAGATCAGCCGTATGGCCACCATTGATTTCCAGTTAATGGAATGATTACCAATTTAAAATGCAGGAGCACGGTTAAACACTGCTGCCGATCAATGCGAGTATGTCACTGCCACCTGAGCTGCTGCCTGCATGATGGCAGCATTTGGTTTACATGGACAGAGCCCAGCTTCAGTAGCCATTCTGGAGTGGATCTATTTTAATCATATTACTTTCTATTTCTTTCCTTATACTCTATTTGCGTTACTTCTTTTTTTCTTTTTGGCAGAAAACTAACAGATCAATAAAGTATAGTTGGTTTGTGTAAATAGTCTAATGAAATTAATTAATTGAGTTGAAATTAATAGTTGGAGTTTTTAAAATAATAGTATGTAAACATAATATTGTAAAACTGCCAAAAGGATTTAACATGTTTTAACAAGTTTCACATAAGGTCTAAATAGGCTCTAACTTCAGGACCATTTCTGTGATATATGATAATGTTGGACTGGCTGTTATATATTAGCTATATACTGTAAGCTAGAAGCCCAATTAATTACACTCACAATTTGCTGCCCATGTGTTTATGTCTGAGAATTGAATAATAATTATCGATTTGGTTAAATAACAGACATGTAGTCTATATAAGTATGTGCGTGTGTGTGTGTGTGTGTGTGTGTGTGTGTGTGTCTGCGCTTCTGTAGTGTGTCCATGGTCATGTCTGATATGGGTCATTGGTTTGCTGAGTTGCTATATGAACCTGCCATTTTGGCATGCATCAAAACCTGTGAAGCACAATGCCCCGGGGGACGTGTGCATGCATGTATCTGTGGGTATCTGTGGATGTGTGCGCATGTGTATAGAAAAAGACACGCAGACAGAGAGCAGTTGCTATGTGAGCCTTAGGGTATGTGGTCTGGTTTCTCAGTGAGCGCGTGTGCTGCTCAGAAGCTGGGGGGCTTCATGTTGAAAACATATGGCCTTTAGTGAAGGAGACAGATGAAGGATAATCTCTTTGGCAGTCCACTACACACACACACACACACACACAAATAATCCAATACTTGCAGATCTGCATAAAGACACCGATTACATTGCCAGCATGTGAGAGTTTAACATAGTTCATTGCTTGATGTAGAACGTCTGATCTTTTTTTCCAATTTATTCATTGTTTTAGTCGCTATGACTTCACACCTCAGGGCTGTGTGTAAGCATGGATCTGTATACACACACATATATATATATATAAACCCAGTAAAAGAGGTGCACTACTATTTTTAGACAAATTAAAAAGGACACCAGATTGGGCCAGCATGGACAAAGATGACGTGGGTACACGAGGACAATTTGCTTATTAATGTATTAAAAGACAAAAGGATTGGACAGATTTCTAAAAAGCTCCTTAAAACCACTGCTCACAATTCTCAAGTAAAAGTCTACCTGTCCACCTCGGTGCTGATCCAACTGCCGCCTGCCCCTGTACCACACAAGGCTCTTTAAAGGGGCGGAGCGGCGCACCTGCCATCAATTTCGGGACACACCTGTTGAGCCTAATGAGGTGCACCATCAGACATTCACTGGTTAAACAAATAAAATTGCACCTGCAATACAAATTAAACACCACAGACTGATAATCAAAAAATCCAAATGAGTAAAAAAAAAGTAAAAGCATGAAGATACAAAAATCCAAAAATGACTTAATTACTTAATTAAAAAAGGTTGTAAATTGTAACAACGGTTACAATTGCACAGTAAAACTATAGTAAACAAGGAGTTATTTTCCCGCTGTTTTGTTTCCTTGTGACTGACCACCAAAGGCAGCCCTCAACAATGGATGTCTTTTGTCTTGTGTAATCGCAGGTGGTGTCTTTCAACAAGTGAACCACAAATGGACTTTTCTTGTCTTTTTCTTATCTAGTCTTCCGACCACTCAAAGCACTTTAATTAACCAGCAAATGTACACCCATACATGTTGAAGTGAGAAGCTAGCAACAAAATGATAAATACACTTGCTAGTGCTTTCCACCTTGAATACCTTAATAATATCCTTAACATTTCTCTCCGGAAATTATGAAAAAAAAAAGATTTACATTTAACATTTAGTTTTACATTTAACATTTAGACATAACATTTAACATTTAGATTTAACATTTAAATTTAGGTTTAACATTTACATTTAACATTTAGATTTATATTTAACATTTAGATTGAGATTGAATTTCTCTATAAATGTTTGAAAAAGGGACATGTGAATATTGTCGTGCTTTTTTGTTCATATGATAATGCTAAATGTAGCAAAACTGCGCAGGATTTTAGAACGTGCGACATTTTACAAACGGTGCCCTATAGTAGCGGCCTCTCCACGTAAGCCTACTTGGATCAAATAGGCTCTGTTGGGGGTTGAACGGGCAAATCACAGCCGAGTTCTTGACCTGTGAGGTTTGCGAGAAACCCCTCGTCATCACCACTGTAAAGCATGAATATATTTTGTGAAACTGACACTCACCAGAGACAGATAGACGGGCGCTCCGCAGCTGAGATTGAACGCCTTTAAGTTAGTTGGTGTCTAACCGAAAGACTCGGGCACAGATCCGAGTCTACAGGTCGTTAAACTGGCTACTGGTCAGTGTGAAGTAGCGCTTGAAGCAGCAGTCGTCCAGACGCACTTCCTGGAGGAGTCGGTGAAATTCACCGAGCAGTGTGTGGCGACGGATGATGTCATGAACCCAAACACGACACCGTTTGCGGTTCCGATGTGTAATTTCCACAACAGGGCAGAAATAGTGGTTATTTCTATGGTGGATAGCGGACATGACAACGGCGACAAACCACAAAGACAAGCCACGCCCCATGTCAAGCACGAATATCAGGGACGCAAATGAAGGCAAATTAACTACCAATAGTCAAACGAGTAAACTTAAAACAAAAACGTGTGGCATACAATTTAGCCAATCAGACTCAGCCTGGGGCAATATTGGTTTTGCCCCAATCTTGCGCGTTCTCATCAAGGCTGGCTGGCATCGACAGGTGGATGACATTCTGGTTGAAGTAAAGAACACAAATTTTATTGCCATTCAAGCAAGACGACTGACATATAAACAGTATACAGTATATTATATCTTACTTATTATTATATATCATGATATTATATATCATATTTAGAATTATTATTTGATATATATATTATACTGAATTGCCTGTGAGGGTTACGAAAATAAGATTGAAGTTTTATTAACTGCTTTTTTTCATGTTGGAATATAAAGAATTTAACTGCAGTAGTAGTAGTAGTAGTAGTAGTATGTGTTTTTGATACCTTAATTGTTGCATTAAATCAACCTGGGATGTTTACCAACATTGATTTGATTGAACTACATTGTCCACCAGCCACCAGTTCTTTTTTTTGTGTGTGTGTCATTTTATTCTTCACCAGCAACATATATACTGATATTTCGCATCAAAAAACTCACAGGTGTTCCCCTTTATCCTGACCAAAAAATGTTCAGATAGACAAAATAGTTTGCATATACAGTAGCATCTGCGGATGTGTGTGTGTGTGTGTAGAAAAAGACACGCACAGAGTGTACAGTGGTGTCACTTTACTTAATATCTTATAGGATGATTTTTGTGTGCTTTATTGATTCAAGGTTAAATTCATAATCTCTCTTCTGATATGTAAAGTTATGGTAGTTATAATGTGCTGTGTATTACAGGACTTTGCCTTTCTCCATATTACCATGAATGTTAAAAGTATTATTGTGGTGTATAAATGATGAACAATAAGATTTTAATTAGATTCAACCCTTATCAAAAGTGTTTTTCTGTTGGTATCCAGTTTCAAGGGAAGGTTGATTTTCTTTTTTGAAACATTATGAATTTGTTATCATCACATATTTATTTCAACTACTTCCCAACGTTAAAGGGAACCCAGATATGTGGGATACGTTTTGAATAGGAACAAAGTTTTGAAATAATCAGAAATCCTTCTGAAATCATATGATTGATAACAATTAGAGTTTTCTATATTATTGAAATGAATGTATTATTCAGGTAAATCGGTGCGACATTCATAGTTAACAACACAGAAAAACGAAGCAAAAAATGCTGTTTCTAAATAAAATGCAGCAGCATATATGAAGGTTTTTTTTAGTTTGGCACAATAACATAAAAGGGAAAATAGGTTCAATTTCAGAAGAATATTGTAACGTGACAGGAACCTTTATCCCACAGAGCACACTATAAATGTAAAACTTCATCTCAATATATTCAGATCTTTTTGGGAACAATAAAATACATCTGTAAAGTGAAAAAAACACAAATTCTAAAAAATGTAAACGTTGAACCTACCACCTTTAGTGAATTTCTATATAAAACATCATCAAGCATGCAAAGACTAATCAATGCAGCATAACTTGTACAATATATTTTGTTGAATGTTCCTAAAATTAAAGTCATTAAAAGGTCAAACCCCAAGTTAGCTCATTTATATCATGAACAGAGGACTTTTTCTACTCTGCTAATCTGAACTACGGAATGATTTGTCTGATAAAAGTGTATAAAGTAAAAAAAACATTTAAAAATATAATAGAACGTAAATGGAAGCACCCAAAATCTGGAAAAAAATGTTTTGGAATGTGTTTCAGATTCTTTAAATAACATTTGCTGAATATGCAGAATATATACACGTAAGCAAAAGAGTCTGTACAAAATCCCTCCACCGAGCTCTATTTTGTGGGACTCTGGCTTTGATAAAAACCATGGAACAAACATAAAAATATGAAACGTGTGCTTTGTCATCATGTCTTTCTGGCACTTTTCAAAACACACTGCGTAAGAAGCTCCCGAGGGAAGACTCTCATAATCCTGCTTACTAATGAGCAGAGAGGATATGCAGAGCGAAGGGAACTTTAGAGATGGATGGAAGTCATTTGAAGGGGGTAAAATAGCTGGACTTCCCTGAGGTAAACTGGGAAAACAATTTCAAATTTCAACAATTTCATCTACAAGCAATCGTGTGTCAAACATCAAGGAGCTGGCACCAATTCTATTCCAAAAACAGATATTTGTCTATTCTTGACTGGGAAATGAATCTCCTTGATCTAAATAAGTTGTGTGAAACGCTTGTCCCGTCCCCTTAGCATCGAAGGGTCTGCTGTTGCTGCCAGGACGGTGGGCCCTGCACCGAGCCTCCATCGCCTCCACCCAGGCCGAGCTCCAGTCCCACGCAGGACACGGATCCAGCTCGCCCAGCTGCGTGCCCTCCCCAAAGAAGGCCGGATACAGGGCGCTGAGGGGGGAGGCAGGCGGAGAGAAGTCTAAACACAGAGAAGAGGGGAAGACATGTTGACATGCATTTCAATACGGGGAGGAGGGATCGTACAGAAACAGGAACCTCTCTCCTGTGGAAAAGCTCATTGCGTGGCTCCTTCCAAGCAGCTGCCTGTCACAGATAACAGAACTATAACAATATGTATTATAAATGATCCTATATGAAGGAGCCATACTGCAACCTGCTGTTGCACTGCAATCATACAAATGAACCGTAGAGTGGAGAGGTCAATGTCCGGCTCAATAGAAAGCTACTTGTGTTGAATAGCAATCGAAATGTTCACATCCTGAGGAAAGGTGGACTTCATTATTGATGTGTGACGCATTTGATTAAGGGGCCTATGATTGATCGGCTCATCTTCACTCTGAACAGTTTAAGGGTCTTTAGGAAAAACCGAAACAATGTCAGACACTCAAGGCAATGTTTTACGTGCCGTTGATAAGCCTTCACAGTCCAAGTCCAACCAGGTCTCCACCACCACATTTCTCCACCACTATCTCATCCGCCATTTAAAGGTGAGTCACGTCAAGGAATATGAGGAGGTTTCAAAGCCTGCTGGTCCTCAGGCAGAGAGTGGGACCCACTCAGTCTCCACTCATCCACCAGTTGGTACAGACACATGAAGCAGTGTCTCCACACGGCTTCTCTCCCAGCTGACATTGGGGGAAGTCAGAGGGCTTCACGGCTCCATCACACCTACGTCAGAGATGAACCTAACCAAGAGAAGACAGAGAAGCTGGGGAGAACATGCAAACTCCACACAGAAGGGCTGTCCTACCGGGGCAGAGGGGGGGACCTCCAGCCGGCACTACTCACCAGTACACCAGCTTACAGTGGAAGGGAGACACAGTTCCAAGTGCCTGCCCAGTTAATAGACATTGTTAATTTATGATGCTATCTATCTCATATCTCATCTCTTAATTTTAATATTCCATGTACAATATTAAGAAAACAATGTTCAATGAATAAATAATGATTCCCTATAAATAGAAAGCCTGAAATAGACCCTGTGATCGTATTAGCCGATACAGATTCCAGCGTTTGGGGATCAACCCACCGACTACCGATAGGAGCACTCCAAATACAAGTCTTCATAATCTTAGAGAAAAAAAATTGCTTCAGCTCTCACGAAGAGATTAGACATTATGAGGCCGGTGCCAGCTGATATGAGGCATTGGACCTCTGTTATTAACATCAAGCGCTGTGAGACTGCATTATCAGCTGCACTCAGGATGTTTTTACATTGTACTTCAGTGTGTGAAGAATAGCCGGGCACAGTTTTGAGTGAAGGAGGTGGAGGCTGCCTGCAGATGGAGAGCAGAGGGATTGATGAGGGGACACGACGGAGTATGATCCATCTGAAGGCTCATTAGGTGAAAGGTCTTAAGTAATTGCCTTATGACACCCTAGATGTTTGACTCTCACAACCATTGATGTAGAGTGACATGTAAAGTAGAGCAGGGCTCCCTCCCTCTAACCTCCACCTGTCTTCATCTTAGTGATTTAGAATCTCGCAAAAGGATGAAAACTAATCCGTACTCTGCAGACAAGACTGCGTTTCATCTGCTCGGACCATTGGTGGACAGAGGGGGCCCTCTAGTGGAGAGGAGCAACACACACAGAAGGCCAGGATCCTAGCCAGTTGTTTTTGTCACATGCAAATACACTAAAACTGCAACTAAGGCCTGGTTTCATTAGTGAATAATCTGTAGTTTATTTTCTAGATGAATCGATTCATTGTTTGTCCTTCCTAGTTGCTCAAAGTCAAGGTCTTGTACTTTAAATGTCTTGTACGGTCTAGAAGAATCATATTTTGCATAAAAACAGACAGAACAGTTGATTATTTTTCAATGAATTGAAAAAAACATCAATGAGCCTCATGATTGCGCATGCTCCTTCATAACCACGAAGACACACAAAAGAATTGCACTCTTTGTGGTAAGCATCGGCCAGTAACAGCCTTTCCTCCTCTGCTCACCTGACAGAGAGGCTGCACTCATGGTCTCCGCCGCTGCGGCCAGCAGGCGGGCTAGGTGTGCGCTGTCGTCGGTGTAGCAGCTGTCCGCGGAGCTGATGAGGCTGGTGCGAGCGCTGGCCATGTTGCTGTCTGTGACGGAGCTCCAGGTGTGCCACGCCGAGCTGTCCCATTCGCTGTAGCAGGAGGAGGGTGTGCTCCGGAGGCGGGCGTGTCTCAGGCCGATTGGCAGGTACTCGCACTCAGCGATGGCAGAGTCACCATCCGCCCGAGCAGAGCGTACTGGGCCACACGTGTAGCCCAGGGTGGGGGAGAAGGAGTGGGGCGGGGAGGGGTGCTGCTCAGGCAGCGCGCTGCTGATAGACGGAGGTGGCATGATCAGATGAATGCATGTGCTATAAATGAAAAGACGAATGGTTGCATGAAAGTTACCAGTAACACACGCAGCTGGCTCAGAACCACTTGGGACCAGCAGCTGTGCTGCATCTTTACCTGCATCTCTCAGGTCTCGGGCAAAGCTCCAGATACTGGGCGGCATCCTTTGGCGTCAGCGTGCCCCCCCTTTCTCCGTCCCCTGACGTGGAGTACGACGTAGAAGAGCAGTGAGTGCAGGAGGGGCAGCTGTGGTCGGTGGCTTGTGGTTGCCAACGGTGACCTGACGCGACAGACACTGACTGGAGAGAGCCCATGTCCCCTGTGAGCTTTGTAGACCAACTGGAGCTGAGCATATGGGAGAGACTAAATGAGACATGTCCTCCCTGTCAGCCAGCTGTAAGGCTGAGTCTCAGTGTTGTCATTATGCAAAATATAGCATCCAGAAATGAGAAGTTGGCTGAGAAGCTAAATGCTTCTTGTATCAGTGAGTCGGGACATTTATTGTAGGGCATTAATAACACACTGAAGCATTATTTGGTCACAGCGATCCATTATTTAATAATATTGTCAACTATGCAGTAAATAATCAAACTGTACAACTAGAAATCAATACACTCATCAGCAACAATTATAATGAACCAGATAGCATGCTTCAATACTGACTTAACTGGTACAGTCAGACTATTATGGGATGGATCTTTAGTGAGATATAAAATATAAGAAATCCATCATTAGGTCATTACTGTAAGAAAATCTCTTGCACAGCAATAATAATAATAACTAATCAAAATCAATATTAACTTCAGAGTCAATGTACTGCAAAACTTTAAATAAAATACCATTTAATTAATATTTCTGTTCTGTATATGACCAAAAATCCAGTTTGTATGGGTTCAGTGATTTGGTAACCATGGTAATTCAAAACATATTTTGAATTTCTTCATCCGGATATATTAATCAATTTCTCCTGTAATCATTAGGGGCCTCTTTTCCCCCTCCATCACCCTCTCTGACCTGTGTGTGTGTGTGTGTGTGTGTGTCTCCTACCCTTCATCTGAGGTGACGCTGTATGTGTCCACGGTGTCGTCCATGGGCATTGGTGGTGGGGGGGGCAGCATGTCCACTAGGTGTAACGATGCAGAGTAATGCAGCAGGCGAGGGCAGCCGGTGACTTGATCGCACTCTGGACAAAAATTTGGGCCGAGTTGCAATAGAAATAATAAATATTGACAATTACCTGCAATCAAGAACTAATATTTTAAATGTGTGTCACAGTACAAATTCTAGCTCGTGACCGTACCGAGCCGGCCTGATGGTACGTGACTGAGTCTCTGTTTGTAGAGTGCGGATGGACAAGCCCGGTTCCTGGTTGGCACTATGGGCACGCTGTTCACTGCATGCAGCTCTGGGGGAAACAAAAGACACAAATATTCTATGTTGATACATTGTCAATATTGGAGCCAAAGCAGCGGTCACATCTGCACGTAATCCGTGATTTCTGAGAAGTACTAACGTCCCATTCTGTCGACCGTTTTTTTCACCTTGCTTGCTATGGCTTTTCTCCCACGTCTCCCTGAGCACGCCCATCTTGGGCTGGGGCCGTATGCCCTGTTTCCATGGCAGCGCCTCTCGGCTGCTGAGGGGCGGGGTCTTAGCAACAGGCTGGGGGAATATTTGGATGGTCTCTGCTCCTTGGTGATGAGGTAGACTATGGGGCATCTTGGGGCGACAACCAGGGCTGTTGAAGGTCTTTAGGCCGCTGGCCATCAAGTCCACATAGAAAGTGCCGTAAACGCCGCAGCTGTCGGTCACAATGGGCACGGCCGAGTCCACGCGGCTGCCTTCCTTGTAGGGGGCCGGGAGGCCTAACGAAACACAGGTGAGTATGTGCTGACCCCAGAGCATATTAGTCAGAAATGATTAAACAATATGGCTAAACTCGTATGTACAGAATGTAAAGCCTTCTGATGCAAATATGTAATTTATGATTACAGATTTTTGTCCCTTTCTTGTTCAACCCGGTTCATCACCCACCAACAATACCGGTTCTGAGTATATCATGAGTCCAAACAGCAGCTGTGCATCATGTATCAGAGAGTTGTGACGGTCAGAAACTGGATAAAAAAACAGACGTTGTGCACATTAATGTATGGAGCGGATAGCTGCTGTGTGGACGTCACGGTTTAATGAGAAACTGCTAAAGTAGGTGCTCTACCCAACGCCGTTTTAACTGCCCTCACATGCTGATATTCATAGGAGTTACCATGGTTACCAAATCCTGCTGTATAAATACTGGCTACGACTGACAATGAAGCACAAGGATTTAATAATAAATGTGTTTTTTATAATTCATGCAAAAACGCTTTAGTATCACAACATTTGCTTCCACCGGGAGGCCGCCTGACAGCATCCTTTTATTCGGTTTGCACCGCAGTTACACTGACACCTTTCACATCAACCAAAGTCAGCGTAAAAACAGAGTTCATTTGAACAAAACCACACAGGTGAGGTGTGAAAGCCCCCCAGCCAGGAGCCTCTACTATCCAACTCCAGCTCACCATTTCAACCAAGTGTCCCTGAGCAAGACACCTAACCCCTAATTGCTCCCTGGGCAAAAATGTAAAAAGCCACAGGTTAGAAATGCAATGTAAGTCGCTTTGGACAAAAGCATCAGCTAAATGACCTGTAATGCGATGTACTCACTGGGGCCTCTGAGTCCTGGATGTTTCTGATCGTGGGCCCATAGGTCCTGATACTTCTGGTTGAAGGCAGGTCTCCAGCCTCCAGAGATCCAGGGGGAGTCTGGAGCAGCCATCCTGGAGAGGTTTCATCATGCTTTAGTGAAACTACTTATGAGCGTATTCATTCAGACTGAACTAAAAAGATCACCGCTTATACCACACGTTACACTGGTTTAAGTTAATCTCAGGTTGGTATCAGAATTTACTTATATGAAGTATCACTAAACCACATTTAGCATTGGCCGTTTAGACTTCAGTGTAATTACATTTCATATTAAATCCTATCTGTCATCCCCAAACTCTCTCTGCACTTTACCTGTGTTTTATGATGAGATCTTCACTGGCTAGTCTGCGCAAACCTAAAAAAAAACACATAACAAAGTATAAAAGATTATAATCAGCCGTGGAGAGAATATTTAGATACTTTACCTGCTTAAGTAAAAGTATGCAAGTTGTAAGGTTGTGAGTTCTGAGAATATTCAAAGTTTCCATGGAAATTAACAGGAATAAACCGTTTTATATAAATAAATAAATCATTTTATTTACCTTGTCATATACAGTATAGCAAAAAAACATTTTGTTTTGTCATAAGCAGACAAACATTTCTAATATAATTTTATTTAATTATATTTTGGACATTTGTGAGTAGAACTTTATTATTTCATTGAACAACAAAAACATGAATCTTGAATAAAATAGTATATTCCCTATGATCATCCCCACAAAAATTCCAAAGTTCCAGAGTTTAACTTCCAATGAAAAGTTTCCGCACCTTTGGAATCCTTTGTATGACCAAAATGTACATAAAGTTAGAGAGGTAAAAGTGTTTCTTGGAATCCCAGAACGTAGGGCTTGGTGGGCCCTGCCTAACTTTATATAAGGATGCTGAGAAGCATATATTCACTAAATCCCAAAGACAATATTTGACTTGAATTGGAAAACGAAGCCTCAAATACATCACATTTGATACTTCGCTCCCTCTCTTTTCCACATAGTTCAGTAAAACTGCCCCCCCCCGCCCCTCACTCCCTCTAAGGGTGTACACGCACCTTTATCCCTGCCCCGTGCTGGTATCAGGGAGCCTGTCCTGCCGTGGCGTCTGAAGAGGTAGACAGCCGCAACCATCAAAACGCAACACAAGAGGACGCCAATGATGCCGATCAACACCGGGTCCTTAAGCAGGGCCACGACCTGGGACAGATCCCGATTTTGGCCGTCTGATGCGGGGGGGTTGCCCATTTGTGGGTCTGAGATGAAACAGAAAGCAGACATGATAACTTCCTCCGTGGCGGGCTTTTGATCACAGCAGGAATGAACAGCCTTTTTTTCGCTTTGCTCACTGATCACAAATCCATGAGGGTCGCTCAGCATTCCCACTCCGGCCCCGTTGACAGCGGCTATGGTGATCCAATAGCGTCGCCCGGGTATGAGGGTGGAGATTTTGAGATTGTGTTGGCTGCTGTTCACGGTCCAGTTTTGGTACCGCTGCCCCTCGGACTCCACACAGAACACCTGGAGAGACGGAGTGAAAAAAGCGCTACAGCTCGTGCACAAAGGCAGCACATCGGGATGCTTGTGATACTACATGGTGGGGGGGTCAGGAAGGGTCCTCCACTGAGTACCTGGTATCCCTGTATGATGCCGTTGTGGGTTTCATGAGGCGGAGGCCCCCAGCTCAAATAGATGGTGTTATTCTGCTCGTGGCTCACTGTTATGGACACAGCCAGTGGAGAGGCACTGGGCACTGCATGAAGAGGAGGAGGAGTCCAGTAAAACACAAAGAAGGACACAAATATTCCTTAATGGGATCATTTCTCACCTGTTTCAGGGACTCTGAGGTGCCGGGTGTTGCTCTCCCTCCCATACAAGCTACTGCCATAGGGACGCACTTTGAACTCGTACATGTAGCCTCTCTTTAAGGGGCCCACCGGAGTCTGGAAGCTGGGCAAGGACACCGTCTTGGCTGTCCAGTCGGAGCTGGCGGGCAGCAGAGAGCGATAGAGCACCTCAAAGCCGTCGAGGTAGTGGGGCTGGGCCGGGGGGGGCTGGAGCTGCTCACAGAGAATACGCCACATGGATCATACGCATGAAATATTCATGGTGATCTGAAACTCTCCGAATCAAACTACCCTTACCTTCCATTGTACTCGCGATATGTTAGACCCGGGGGCCATGATGGTCACGTTGTCCAGAGCAATTCGTAGGGCTGACAACTCTTTGTGCAGGTCTCTCTGTTTACTGCTGGGCTCTGGAAGCACAAAGGGGGTTATTTATTTGAAAACAGGTTTGATTCATTTCAAAAGGCAGGGCACACAGTAAGTCACTTAACTATTTAAAACAAATTTGAAGGTTGAAACTCGCTCTCCAGACGAGAATGTTGCCATCTAGCATGTGGTTGTTAAATTATCTGAGGGTTGTCCCCTGGTTTTGCCTGATATCAGACAGAACTTACTTGGGCCGTATGTGGGGTCGGGAAAGCGGATACCGTGGTTAATTCTAGTAAGGCATTCCTAATTATAAATCACATATGCATATTGTTCTGGATTTAATGTTGGACTGGAGTCCCAAACCATCGGGAAACAAGGTTTCATTAACTGTAGCTGTTTATTCAGCCGTGCCATTTTATTCAGTTGCTTGCATCATATTTGCACGGCCTATATAAAAATGAAAGAAAAGACATTTGATATGCCATAATAGGGTAGTCAGTCTCTAATGAAGAGCCAATTACTAATAATTCTACTGATCCACTTTCTCTGTATGATCAAAACAGTTTTCTCTCCCGAAAATTTGATTTGACAGGATAAGTATTCCTGAACATTTGTTTTAAGGTATTTTTTGTAATACTCAGCAGGCCACAAAAGGCTCAAGAGTACCACTACACCTTTAAACCCTGGATGAAAACATCAAGGTTGGTAGTCCAATTTAGAAAATGGGAAAGTGGTGCTCTTCACCCCCTTGTGGCCAAATAACAATTATACTGATCATAAGAACTAACAACCTTCGGTTCTTCTTACTCAAACTACAGGAGTTACAAAAGGCTGACAAACACTAAGAATCAGATTTCTGGTAGAAAAATTACCAACATCGAAGCTGAAAATGTGAAACCTTGGAGGAGGATTTGGGCTCGTGGTATGGTGGGAATCTGTGTGTAGCTCCTTTTGACAACGTTAATATCCTTTAAACACATTAGCCTGAATGCAGCCTCCTGGACGACACTTCTTTTTTCTATGAAGGAATAATGGGAGCAGAACACCTGCGCAGAAGTGACAGTGGAATTTGTGGTTAGCAGAAACTTGTCAAATTGTTAATTATTTAAGTTTTGTAGCGGCAGATTGAAGAATGTTTACTCATGATTTCGTGATTGTGCTAGAAAAATATCCAACACTGTTTTTCTCATTTTTTTTATGACTTCACATTTTTGATACAGGTTTATGAATCTGTTTTTGTCAGGAATTCTCCGTCTTATTAGTTTTTATGCTGCTTGTCGTTCCAGATGCTGTCATCAACACAAGATTATCTCTCATTCTCTTCACCTGGTCCTCATGCCCGTCCCACCTGCAGCCCAGGCCCTCATTGGTCCCTACTTAGGTCCCCACACTTGCACCTGCCCTCTGCCAGATTGTCTTGTGTGTTACTGCCAAGCTCTCCAGTGTATCCTGCGTATTCCTGATCTGCCTGTGCCGACCCTTTTTGCCCGACTACTTGACAAAAGATTTTTGTGTGTCCCCTGTTTGGATTTGTTTGCCTGTTGGCTTAATATCCCACTTTTGACCCTGCCTGAAGGAGACTAAAGAACTTTGATAATTTTCTGTTTAAGAGTTGTGTTTCTTGTTTCTAGTACCTGTAACCCTTAGTTTTGTATCATATTCACTACAACAATAATCTTTGTCCTATACTCAAAGCGTCATATTTGTGGAGTGGCAGGACGTGTAACCAAAGAAATTAGGGCCTCCTAGCTTCATCTTCCAGTTTGGACTGAAAATGGAGGTTCAGCAATAACTGTCCGTCAGCTGGCAGGCAGAAGTGAGAACTGTCAGTGAGGCAAACATTTTAGAATTTTGGTTTTTTTAGACATCACCTACCTTCAACTAGAAGCTGTGCGCTGCCACTGGCCACACCGGCATCATTGACAGCAGTGCAGGTGTACCCCCCAGCATCCTGGGCCGTCACGTAGTGGATCTGGAGGGTGTGGTCTGGGTTTACAAGATATCTAAACACACATACAGCAGTTAGTTTTCACATTTACTGTCCCGCTGATCTCTTTTTACAGTAACTAATAGTTTAATTGGATTTTAGTTACAACTAAGATGTGTCAGTTTCAAGCGAAGCCCTGAGAAAACTGCGCGCTCAGTGACAATCTGAAGTGAGTATGGCAGTATGAATTAGGATGGTGTCATTTTATGGTATATGCACAACCGAATGATAAACATTATAAAGCTTCTAGCTACCAGTTCCAATGGCGACGGACAGAAGTTTCTATTCCCTTTTTGAATTTCTCACAGGAGGAAGAAAAGTAAGGAGCAGTGTGTATCACGAAGTGCTGTTTTCTACACATTAGTGATCTGAATACAAATCTAGAAATCGCATCACTCAAGTTCCGTCTGACTGGAGTGTGTCTTCTGCGTAGTGCCGTGATGAAGTACCTGCCGTTGGGCAGTAGCCCCTGCTCTCTGCTCCAGACCACAGCAGGCGGGGGGTCACCTTTAGCCTCGCAGTAAAACTGGGCCGACTCCCCCATTTGCACAGACACATTTTGCGGCTTCAGCACCAACAGCGGCTTGGCTGCAGTGGAAGAGAAGAGCAACGGTCTGCTGTGCTGTGATGCCCTTTGCATTCACAGCATGGAGCCGAGTTCCAAGGTGATATTGTTAGAGCAGTTGTAATAATAAGCAGCGACGGGAACGTGGTCTCACCCAGCACGGAGAGGCGCGCCGCCCTGCTCTCCCTCACTCCCCCGGGGTTGCTGGCCACGCACACATAAGCACCAGAGTAGTTCTTCTCTGCAGGAGCGATGATGAGCGTCTCATTCAGCGCCTACAACACGAGTAGAGTGCAGAAAGACACACTGCAGCTGTGAGACTGAGAAAGGATTTATCTGTAGGTACTGATCCATGACCTCTACATTACGCTTTCTGTTCGGAACATTAAAACATCAGAAAGCAATGTGGTGGATTTTAATGAACCATGATTTTTATAAAGTTGATCTCCAAAGAAATCAATGGTAGAATATGGAGGGAAACTCAATTAACAATTTACTCATTATTAGAGAATTCTGCTCTGTTTTATAAAATCACAGTCATTTTATTTTAAATTGCTCACATGCTGTGTTTTACATGACTTCATTCATGCAGTGAGCATATTTAAAAAATGTTAAATAAAGGGAGGGACTGTTAGTTTCCCCTCTGTTTGGCCCTGCACAGCGAGGGGGGAAACAGATGAAGAGCACAGTGTGAATGAGAAGTGATAAATTGATAACACTGCAAACACGATATGCATGGTTTAGCACATCCTGAGCTCAGATACAAAGTGAAGCTGAGGGCTTACTTTGTAGTGGTGGTCAGTGTTGTTGATGGGAAAGCCATTTTTCTTCCAGATGACATTCGGTTCAGGCTGTCCCATTGGGGGGCCGCAGTTTAAGACCGCCATCTCCCCTTCTGCTACCTCCACGTCACTGGGCTGCAAAGTGAACTCCTCCTGCAGCACTGCAACAACAGGGCTGGGGTCAGTCCACACACTTCACATGTCCGTGTTACAGCTTCCACGATATTTTTGGGTTGATTGTCTCGGTCCGCGTGGACATAAGTGGTAATGTCTCTTGAGTCCCTTTTAAAAAATCTCTCATTTTAGTGTAGCTAGGTCTGACAGTCTGCCCCGCTCAGTCCTGGTTCTGGGTTCTCCCGTGTCCCCTAACCACCAGAGAGCCCAGCGACACGGCTGGGTGGTCCAGAAGCTTGATGGAGCGTAGGAGCACAGAGGAGCTCCTGGAGGAGGAGCTTAAAGAGTTTCTAGTGAACCTGCGGGCAATCGGACCCAAAGAATAGCCGTATACAAATAGCCTTCTTCTCTCAGATGGTTTCATCCTAAAGGTCATGTAGAGGCATCAGTGTATACAAATTCCATGTAACTTTAGAGGGTCCTGTCACAGACTTTGAGGAAACATCTCAAATGAGTGACACAAATACCCACAACTGTTATTTGAGTCAGTATCAGAACATTATCAATATCAATATCAGTATATCCCCACTGGGAACATGTATGTGCGTGATACAGAAAATAACATAAGTTGCAAACTAGTTCAATCAACCACGCTTGACCGATTTGGAAAGATGAGACGAGTGAGAGGTCGGCGGGGGGTCTCAAGCTGGACCTCCGGGCTCACCTGCGATGTACAGCGTAGCATTGCGGCTGGTGGCCATGCCTGCCCTGCTCCTGGCTACGCAGGTGTAGACACCCTCGTGCGACTGACCCCGCCTGCCCCCCCCCACGCTCAGGAAGAAGATGCTCCCCTCTGATAAGACGATGGGCTGCAGCTGTTCCTCCCCCTGGGCCGTCTCCAGAGGCTGGCCGTTACGCAGCCACTCGATGGTCGGCACGGGGCTGCCGTCCACCCGGCAGGAGAGCGTGGCGGGATTCCCCACCTTCACCACCACGTCTGCCGGGTGGTGCACAATGCGGGGGGCTGTCTCCTGTGCATGAACTCTGGAGCCTGAGGACGACACAGAGATGATGTGGAGGCTGTTAAAAGCGTTAAACGGTTGAAGGACATTTAGATATAAAATAAGATGATTTGTTTGGATTTGTTTTCTGCATTGCAACTACCTTGTGGTTGTTGGATTTTTAGGCTTTTGTATTATTTCAAAAGGGTTGGAAAAGTGAGCACTAATGCTGTAAATATGATAAATATCTCAGGCTGGGGGAGCACTGCCCCTGGACTCCTACAGGTGTGGGCTAAGCCATCCCGCGTGTCACACTGCCACTGATACAAATTCCCCCAAATATACGGCATTATTATTTTTTCCCTGTGTAGAAAAAGTCACATCTGAACAGCAGTGCTTCAGCGGCTCCAGATACCCCCCCACACACAAACTCATTCGAGCCATTTTTTACCAACAAACAGTATCTATTTGCAGCCGGCAGCAGTGGAATGCCATTGTGTGTGTTCCCATGGAGTTGGGTGACCACATTGAAGGGAAACAGGAAGACTGTGATGGGCTTGCTGACAGGAGAGGAAGCTGGGGGGTCTCGGGAACATCGGCCCTTAACAAAGGCTGACTGGAACTCCGCAATCAGCAGCGTATCCGCCGCAGAACAAAAGACGTCTCTTCAAGTGGAATTTCACCGCTGACAAACTAAAAGAACTAAAAGCTAAAAGAAAATAAGTTGCAACACTATAGCCACTATAAACATCTGGAAGAGACAGATGCTGCCTGCATTACGAAATAAAAGAGGGTGAAAAGAGACAACAAGCTGCTCATCCGTTGCAAACACTTCTGAGGAACACCCGAATTGAGTATAATGTTAATATTTTACTCGCTGTAGCCGTAAATACCTTCAGATGACAGCCAGTAAAAGCCTGTTTAACCCCACTGCCCCTGATAAAGAGGGAGGAATAGGATGCGGCCAAAACACCAGGGCATGTGTTTCTACTAGCTTCAACAGAACATATTTTAATATTAACATAGCTACTATTACATTTTAGCATGTTTTCTGAACATTTTAAAATCCATAGTAGAAATAATTGGTAGCTGCAGCACTTGTTAAGGAAGTGTTCATTTTATTTTGACATTTAACACAGCCCCTGCCAGGAGGACTTATGATGTTGGCTCATGTGTATATATAATATTATATAGAATAACTATTGTTTGTGTGTATATAACGTTACATTTGGACACAGGATCAACAGGTAGCCTAATGTCCTTTGATAAAAGTGTGTCCCTTTAAAGTAACACAAGAAGCATGGCGGTGAATGAAGATGAAGATGAATGATGAATGATTATTAAATATGAAACGGCTGCTTCTTACCCGACAGGAGAAAACGTGCCATCACAGATGCCAACACGATCATCAAAACATTGCTGCTCATCCCGGACAAATGCTAAGCTAAGTAGCACTTTGATAAGCTAACTGGGTGAGAGTATATTATGCTTCGCTTTGCTCGGGGTCAACTACACACACATTTTAAATTGAACTCCCAACTTCACTGAAAAGGGTCTTCATAATGACGATCAGCCCACTACTGAGCGGGCGGGAGTCAAGGTAACGTAGTGCTTCCGGTCCAATGTGTTTTTCAAAATAAAATTAATGTTGGCAGACGTAACACTCCGTTGTAACTCGCTCAAATTATGACCTCAAAGTACAGTTTGCAATATACACAAGCATACAGTCATCTATCTTTAAGGAATGCGAGTAACAAAATATCTATCTCTATGCTCGTTGGCTTTACAGGATATTGGCGATGAGAAAAAAATTATTTGTTAATTAAAAATCTCCATTTTTTTGTGCAGTCAAGTCATGACTACACATAGAGTATTTTACTTTGAAAGAATACCATAGTATTCCATAGTATGCAACAATAATTTCCATAAAGGCGGAAAATTGATTAAAAGGGCCGGTAATTATAGGCATGGAAAATTACATGGCATCTGACTTTGATATCAACTGTTAACTGTTAACTGTTAAATCGCAGAAAACAACCTGCCTGGTGAGTGTGTGGTTAACTATTCATTAATATAGTTTTTCAAATACAAATATCTGTCGTAAATATTTTTTTAATTTTTGTTTATTAAATACAAACCGCTCTCCCATCTTGGCTTTATGTTTGTATGTTTGCTTTCTGACAGGTTCTAGTATCCACTCCATCAACACTGCAAGGAAACAGCAAGTTCATACGCCCATCTCTCTAAACAATAGAAGGAAATTATGTATCTCTGCAGTATGCAATGAAGCCAGAGTACTTTGACTACAAGTAAGCACTTTGCATTGTTATTGGAAATCACTGAATTTGAAAAAACTTAATTTTTTGTTTAAAAAAAGGTTCTAAACCTATACAATCCAGAGCGGGAAAAGTGAGGATGTTAAAAAAAATACTAGATTGAGTTCACGAAGTTCCGTCACGGCAGAGCATGAAATAAGTGAGTTCTAGCTAGTTCATTCCTTCCAATGGCTCACATAAATGAAGCATTGTTCAGTTAGCGGCTCATTGTGAGGCTCAGAAAGGCCCCGGCTAAGTGATGGATCTTTATATTGATCCAACAAGTTGGGTTTGATGGCCGTGGCATCGGCCAGCTTTCAGTCTCCAACAAAAGCCTTAGAGAGGATGAAGGATGAGCCCCAGCTCAGCGCAGCCCATGGGAATGGTGCCGCGCAGCGACGTGCCCAGGAAAGGGACCCTTTGAGGCTCCAGACCCAGAGGTCACGACGGGTTTTGAAACAGGCGTGGAGGGCGGGGACAGAATAAAAAAAAGAAAGTGTCAGCTATAGTGAGGGATGCAATAAAAAGTGACTTCAGAGTAAATTCAGAGTGAAACTCAAGTGTGTTTTGTAGAGGCATCAATGAGCACTGTGCACATGAATAACCGCCTTTAAGGGCTTTAAACTAAAAATAGAGTCTGTGTTGACACCATAGAATTGTATTCCATCTCTGTTATTTTTTTTGAAAATTCGAATCAATTAGTTAAATTGGCGATCTCTAAATAAGTAAGTATATGCAGTGACTGTTTAACAAAGTTGCACGTTGCAGTGTCTTTTGCAATCAAAGCTTCAGATGTCAGCAGATCGGCGTTCCGTTTTTAACACCTTGTTTCCTAGTTCACACACATTCAGATCTGATGATTCCTGTACTGGCTTAAGGCACATGGCTTCACTATGGCACCAAAACTAGGGGGATTTAACCACTTCATGGAAACCTTTTTCACGCATGTTATTGTTTATCTATATTTACATACTCCTTCTTCAGTGATAGTGTAACTACGTATTGTTTAGTCTGATACAATTGAAAATGTAGGTACTTTGTCACTGTCACTGAAAAACTAAGCTTAATTGCTCAAAAATTATGACATGTTTAAATTATTTGCTGTCTCATTGGCTACTGTTGAATTATACGATACAGTAAAATACAGATCAAAACAATAGATTTTCTGTGATATTTTGACAGCATGTTTCACACAGCAGCAGCCGAGATCTCGATGCGTTAGAAGTTTGTTTAACAGTTGATGTAAAACAGAGTTTTACATCTACTTTTTAACTTTCCATTTTTTGGCAAAGAAAAATATACATGTGTTTTCATGCATGTATCCCATACAAAAAAAACCTTATATTTGGTGTACAATACTTTATGGTTGAATACTCTACTTTGTTGTAAAGGGAAGAGTTAATATTGTTTTACATCTGTGGTTTGGATTAAGTCGGAGCCAAAGTAAAAACGAAAACACACATTTAAAAAGAAAATAAAAGCTTGACTTTACAATAATTAATATAATTTTTACAGATACAACAGTGTTTTTTGTGGTCTACCAAACACTGAGCATGTCATTTGTATTTTTAAATAATGTTCAACATGTTGACACAACCTACCAGATGATATTAATTCCATTAAATTGTCACCTCCAAACTATATGCACAGATGCTGCATGTTAACTCACTGCAGCCGGTTGCAGCATCAGTGTTTTGCGTGCCTCCAGTATGAAACCAGAGCGGGTTTTAAAGACTCACCTTTTTTGCGGTAAAGCCTGCTCCGGTGTGGTGTGTGCTTGTGTCCCACACCGTGTAAAACATGCTCCTTGACCCGGCTCTTTGACCTCCCGTCCAGCCCTGACTCTGTTGGACATGCGTCATGGCACTCGTACCTCTGTGAGAACTCTGTCCAGGTGAAGAACCAGGACACCCAGAGAAGCCATGCACCAACCCGCATCTTCAGTCAATGCCCGCGACCCCTACTGCAGCTCCTCTGCAGCGCCTAATGCCCTCAGTAAAAAGTGTCCTGGCTTCACCAAAATGCAACATGTGACCTGTCCGCTCCACTAGCCATTCGGAGATGTTTTCTTGATATTCATCAAAAATTGCTGTGTGCTCCTCCACTCCTGTACCCTCCCTCTTTAATTTGGCTGCTCTTCGTCTTCCCATCTCCCTCCTCTTGGGCTCCTTTTTTTCTTCCCACAGTGAGAGAACTTGGGGGGGGGGGGGGCAATCATCAAAAAACAAGTTTCAGACCTCATGCTGAGCGAATACTGAGGGTAAAGGCGACCATGGGGTACTGAGTTGTTACAACAACATTTGTCCCATTCTTTCTCCATGGGATAAGGGATGAGGGGTCCAGGGGGGGGGGGGGGGCGCAAAACAAGGCTCTGTCTAAGGGAGGCGGTGGTTGAAATAAGGGGGAGGTAACAGAGGGTCCTGTTTTCAGTCCTGTCAGATCAGTTACATTAATCAAATGTTGACTGATTAAATGCAGCACAAAACTTTGGGATTATGTAGAATATTACAGATTGAATAATTCCATCTCTGCTTTGATCATTCAGAAAGAAAAGCATTTCCTCCAAAATTACTTAGACTGAAAGCACTGTAAGAGGGTTAAATCTGTCAATAAAAAGAAACATTTATTTTTCTTGTGCAGAGCTAAGATTTCAGTTCTTATTTTTTTGTTCTCAAGCTCAGATGTAAATTATGGTACCAGAAGAATGTATTCCTTTTGAAAAAACAACAGCTTTATAAAAGACAAAATGAGTACAAAGGCTTCTGTTTCGTTCACTGCGTTGCTTTAGTGTGGCAAATCAAGGTCACAACCGACCTCCCACCAGTCAACTAGCCAAGCAAATTTGTTGCTGCCTGTCTGCACAGTATGAGACTCATACATCATTGTGGCTCGCCCATGAGAAACAGACCAAGTCAAGCTTGTCAGAACGTTATGCTTTAATTTGAAACACGGTGGGTTTGTCTGGTTGAAGTGGACTCCTAGAGCAGCCAGAGATTACAGCATAGCACTCTGCAAATAAAAACAAACAACTATAAAAAAAGTAATGCAGAATTGATCCGTTCCTGAATAGCCCACATTGCAGACACCTTTTCCTTTTTCGTAATATCTGACAAATGTTATTATAGCTTTTTTGAACATCATGTAAAAGATTTCCCCATATTGTCCCTATGTGCTTCTAGATAGATTTTGTTTAGTTTTTTGTTAAGTAAATAAATAATCTAGGTTACATGAGGAAAAGATTTCCATATCAAATAAAGAATGAATACACAAAACCATGAACATATAGCAAATACAGAAGTAAGCAAGGCATTGGCATCTCCCAAAAATATGCTCTAAAATGCCGTACCGTTAATTTTGATGTGAGTTAACTTCAGGAAAAACCTAGAGCTCGTTCCACAGAGCGAGATAAGAAAAGTGGAGCTTTATGTCAAAACCAGATTTAAATAAACCAAACGAATCCGTTGAGACTAAGGCGGTTCCAAAAAAGTGGCTTAAACAATGAAAAGGTTTGAGTAGTGGAGATAATTGTGTGTTAATATAGACTACAGCATCATTTCAAATGATGTGCAGCCAAAAAATAGTTTGGATAGAGATCGATAGATATACTTATTTTCATTCTCTCAAGGTGCTAATGCTGTGAATAGAAGCATATTCATTGTTTGCTGCAGTCCGTCTACAACACACATTTCGGCCCAGCAAGCTATTTATTTATATGTATAACACTGATAATGATGGCTCTGTTACATGCTGCTTTATGTGCAAGCCATGTCTGTAAATCAGCACCTTTCTCAAAGCATCGTCTCATTTGACCGGTGTTCATGTTACTAATAACATGAACCCTTGTTATGAGTAAACCACCATAAAATCAGAAAGATTGTCTCTCTTATTTTACGTTGCACTGCTAGCATTAGCATGCTTGTCAAGAAAAAAGCACATCATTGAGCAGGTTTAATTAACAATTTATGTTTCAACAAGAGCCTTAGTAAAAGGAATGAACGACGTCAAGAAATACTTCAACACAGCAAAACATTAAGAGGAATGAAGGAGTCATCCTTATCAATAAAGTCACCAATACAAGAAGGATACCCTTCCATTAGAGAAACGTTTTAGTTTGTGGTTTTGTTTTCTGCAAAGTATTTGAATCATGCCTGTGGACACTGACATTACTGGATCGCTTTAATGAATTTTGTTTGATCAGAAAGTTACTTGATCCAGTGCGATCTTGGATGTTACAGGGGAAGACGTGATGCGATCTCATATAGGCTACACAAAAAACATTTGCTTGGGCAGAATGATGGTGGTAAACGGAGGGTTCATTCTGAATTGTCAAGGGCTGAGAGGATGAAGGTCAGACCATCCCATAAAAATTGAAGCAGGAAGGAGATCATATTGACCAGAACTGTTTATGCAAGTAAAAGACAGTCCAATAAGCAAAGAGGAAAGCAAGGCCCGAGCAGGTCAACCCGAAAGCTAAAATATTAAAACAGATCTTGTAACTGAGCAGGAACTGAGCCGTGTCCCATGAATCACTACGGCCACCCTTGTTCGACTATTGTGAACACTTTATTTGACCAAAGTAGCCATTGGCTAATATTCAATCATGTCTTCAACACTGTGAAAAATGGAACCCCCCCATGGGGTAGAGCTGCGGCCCCATGGGGGGGGGGGTGTCATGTCCAAGCAGCAGAGGCCTTTTGGTGAGTGACCTGACCTCGCATCTCTTATCCTGGGCCAACCGAGGCTGAGCAGCAGGGTAATTCCTTCCCGGGAGAGAGCGAGAGAGAGAGAGGTAAAAAGCCAAGGCCACACCAGACTCTCCGATTGAGGATTTTGCCCCCCTAGTGTGTGTTGCAATGATAGCATCCCCTGGCTAAACACAAAAGGGCATTATAGAGCACAACCAGGAGCGATCAGAGAAAACAAGACTGCATAGTTTGTTCCTCTGGTGAGAAGGCCTCAGTTCATTTCCCCATTTTTCCATCACCAACTCTTTCACAGCTTAGAGAAGTACCCAGCAAGTGAACTCTGGTGTCTTCAGGTTTGCCAAACATCCACTTGTCGGCTAATAAACCCTTATTTAGTCCACGCCTGAATAAGGATTTAAAATGTACTCCTTCACTAGACGGAGCCCCCATCAGGTTTCACTTACCAGACTTTTTGAAAAGGATTGCAAACATTGCCATCTGCTTGATTTAACATGAATTGAAACACATTCTTTTGGGATAAGTGCACCAACTTTGCCAGAAATCGTTAATGGATTTTCAGTGGGGGGTGGGGGGCGGTGACGGTACCCATATCACAAACAGGGGGCAAGATGACTGAGGATGTGAACGGCGAGCCTGGAGTTCTGCTTCAATGCATCTGAATGTCAGGGAGGAGGAAGAGAGGAGGAGGAGGAGGAGGAGAGAAGCGATCCCCATCGCCTCGGCCGTCTCAAAACCATGCACCCTGAGCTTTCTGCTCACACCTCTTTGCCCCTGCATTGCTCCCCCTTTCTCTATCTCGACCACCCCCATCTCTTTATAAGTCCAGCTGGCCGTGCCACAAAGACTCCGTCTCACAATCCCAAATGATCCTCAGACTCCCACATTCTTTGTTGTGCTCATTTTCCCACTCCACACAGACAGAGTTTAGTAGGAAAAATTAAAATGAGGCCAGGGTGGAGGGAGAGAGGACGATTTAAAGAGAACGATTTAAAAAGGGAGGTAGAGTGAGAGAGAGAGAGAGTGTGAGAAGCAGAGAACAGAGACTTTTGGGATTTAGAGATCTTGAGTTTGCAGACTTCCACGCAGTGAGAAACTGTTTGCATTATATATATAAACAAAATGCTCGTAAATGGACTGTTTTGATTATAAAGTGAATTCAAATACTTTTTGTTAATGTTAAAGTGGAGTTTCATTTCACTCTAACTCACTTTTTACTGCCCCTTTCAGCGGGGTCTAAGGTCATGTTTTGTGGTAATCACGCGGCCAATTACAGGCAACAAGTCCCTCCAGGTTGAAAAGTTTTAGATCCCCTCTCCCTCCCCGGTGAAATCCCCCAGTACCCCAGCTTGTGTGAAATCATGCCTGTTGAGCAGAAAGAGGACCACAGTATGGAGATGGGGGCTGCAACTAATAGGATTGGTTTTGATTCATTAGATTTTCTTTCATCATCCTGGTTGGAATTCTACTCCACGTCTCCTCGAGCTTCACACTTTCAAAATGGAGGTAGGAGGGGGGCAAGTGTTTAGAATTGAGCCTCCAGACTGCAAAAGCCCATTACTCTCTATGGAATCTTCTGTTTATTCACACCCCATGGAATCAGCATAATAACCATGTGTTTGACATCACTTCTAAATAACCTCTGAAAGGAAAATCTTCTGAACTGTTGTTTTGATACTGTATTCCTTCCCAGGTGGGAATTTGTTAGAAGCAGCCGGCAAAGTTAGAGTAAACGTAAAAATATTCATTATGAAAAATATGTACTGTACAATAAAATAACAGAGCAGTTTAACAGAACATTTTAAATTTAGGAAAATTAAACAATAAAGAAAAAGCACAAAATGCAAATCATATACAGAGAAATGGAATAGGTATTAAATTAACTAAAACAACAGTGTAGTGATTCAAGGATTATTGACATTGATTCAATTGAAGGAAGAATTGGGCTGAAGCTATTTGTTGTTGAGTCTTTTTGCGGTTGGTATGAATGTGATCTGTCCTTGTGTCGGCAGAGCTGGATCATCCTGTTGGAGAAGGTTCTCTGCTGTTCCTGCAGTAAGTGGTGAAGAGGGCGGTCCAGGTTATCCACTATGGAGCCTAATTTCTTCAGTGACCTACTCTCCACCATGTCCTGTTTGCAGCCAATGATGGAGCCGGCCTCCTTCTCCAGCTTCTTGAGTCTGTTGCTGTCACTAGCTCCAACACGGCTCCCCCAACAGAAAATGGCAAAGTGCAGAGCACTGCGGACAGTTTCCTCAAGAAAAAGTTGAGTTGACTCGTCCCCTTCTCCTACACAGCGTTGATGTTAGCTTTCCAGTTCCGTCTGTTGTCGACGGGGACACTCAGGTACTTTCCCTCCTCCACCATGTCCACATCCTCTCCCAGAACTCTGTTTGTGGAGATGTCGTCTTCCTCGTTCAGAATCGTTGCTTAATGCTCTGGATCAAATGGAGGTGCTTGACAGAGCTGGAGGTGTACCACGCTAGGCGTTTGTAAGAGACATTTGTGTTTATTAATCCCATGTCTGATTCTCTCTTAAAGTACACACTACTACACACACATAATTTAGCGATACACTAGAAGTGTGTTTGAAATAGTTTAACATGGAAAATACACAATATACAGGAGGGGAAGGTAAGGCCACGCCCAGGCACACACACACACACACACACACATACCTGCATACAGTACTAACAGGGGACCAAATAAAGAGAAAACAGGCACAGAAGGGGCCATGACACATCCAGTTTCACATAAATTAGTTAATTATTAACAAATGTATTTAGTGACTAGTGAACTCTAGTTTCAGACAATATTCACATGATATCTAAATGAATGGGCATAATTAAAATGCTTTTCTGCCACCTGAATTAGAGCCGTGTGGGATTTTATTGAAAGCTAAAAGCTAAAATGCAGCGCAGAAGAATCTGGGAAAACAAATACCTTTTTTTGCCGATGATGACGAGCAGATCTTTTATTTAATCACAAAAGCATGTTATCAACCTTGAATACAAATGCAAATACCAGCAATGTTTGTGTGCCATTTAATATAATGTTATGGTTTTCTATGTTTAATGTTACTGACACTGTCATGGAGAAGGTTACAAATAATTCCAATTATAATGTTTTCACAGTCAGAAAGGACACAAAGAAAATCTCCCCGCCGCATCATGAGTTTCGTGTAACTTTTTTTCATTACATAAAACGAGGAGGGAGGTTTTTTTCAGTACTGTAGTATGAAAAGAAACAACAACAACATTTTCTTCTTGTGCATTTAATGATAGGTCCTGTTAGATATTTACTGCTGCTTGTACATAAACAGCTGTCTCTGTTTAGGATGCATTCTGCAGTCCGTTTCCACATAAGGCAAAGGCGTGGAGGGGGCGTCTTGTCGTGCCCCTCTTGTCTTAAGTTGTGTACCGCGATGCGATCCCCGTGCCAGCTGTGACCCTGGCAGCTCTACTGTGTTCTTAAGGCCTTGGCATACACGGGCTCCAGGAAATGAAAGGGGAGCAGCGTGAACAACAGCCCCAGAAAGGCTGCACTCACCACTGCCAGCAGCACGTAGCGTCCGATGAACAAAGAGTCCACTATCTGCAGAGAGAAACAGTTAATCGATACACTGTCAGGAATTCTCAGGAATAACACGCAGCAGTGTTTTTAAACAGCATGCATGGCTATTCAGAATTCCACATATCCTATATTAGCCACTAGATGTCAGAGGAGGGCCTTCACAGAGTGGGCCCTCTGAACACAGACAGACAAACCACACAAACAGACGCAATTACAAGGAAATCAACATTAACGTCTGAATCAAACCATTAGAGAAGAAGTTGATCTACTGTAGGTTTTCTACATGCTTCTAACAGCTGACAAAGCAGAAAGCTAACTCACAGTGTGCACTGTGAGTTAAAAACACAGTGCACACTGGACGCTTCAAAGGTTCCTCATCCAACAGGTGGAATAGTGTCTTAGATAGCCAGCGGTCACCTGGCAAACTCACGTGGCCATGTAAGACATCTGGACATTGACATTAGGTTTAGGTTAACTTTGAGCTGGCTTATTATTGTGATACACTATAGACTGTGACCAGACGTAGACAACCCAGTTAGCGATTATGATCTAGTGGTACATTTGGAAGAATGAACAATTAGAATACTGAACTTGACGGGATAGTTTGGATGTTTTGAAGAGGGGTTGTTTAAGTTGCTTATCAATAGCCAGTGAATTATTTGGAGCAGTGTTTCCCAAGCAATCTTTTCTTGGGACTTTTTAAAAATGACAAATCATTGTGACCCGGTTTCCATTTAGCCGTATTGATAAATCGTGAGAAGAAAACAAACCAGGGTCTCTCATGTGGCTCAAGCTGCAGTGCAGGTATGAATGTTGGCAAGAACTCAGGAACTAATTCAGCTAATCAAGACAGCATTTTTAATAAAATCTCCCATACATCTCCCACCCATACATTACTGATGTAGAGTAAAGGACGGTCAGCACACCCGGCTTACCTCGGGGAAGCAAAGCAACGTACTGCTGTGGTCATAGGAAGCCGGGAAACAGACAGTATACTGGACACTTAGAAGAAAAGGTCACCCCGAAAAAAGGTATCTATATCGGTTTATGTGAATGCTAAATTAAGAATATTTCACAAACATATCTTTTTGTATGATTTTGGTGAAACTAAACTAACCAAGTCACACTGACTGATTGAGGTGGTGGTGGACCTGGTCAAACCGTCTCCTTCGAGTCTGGGGGCCCGAGCCCCCTTTGACAAAACGATAATAAGTTTGGCACAGCTGAAGTTCATGAAGTGGCCATTGACGGAGTTAATCAGCGCTTCTCTTGGAACCGCAGGGTCTGTGTTAATAATTAGATCATGAGCCATAGATCCGTTAGGCGGATCAAGCTGAGAGAAAGCCAGATCGCACCTAAAGAGAGACATTTCACTGGGCCTGTGGTGGAATGACAGTAGGTGTGTGTGTTTGTGCGAGTTTGTGCGAGTGTTTGCGTGGGCGGGTGATGTATGCCATTTCTCAGGGATGCATCCCACTTTTTAATTTGCCAATTACACAGCAAGCAGGAACCCAAAGTGTGGCCCATGTTTTATTAATGTGCCATTGAGTGCACGGGTGGTAGCTGGCAGACGGGTTGGAGGGGCAGGTGGAAGAGGGGGTGGGGTCTAGTATAACACCCCCACCCCCCCCCAGTCTGGAACTGGCCTAATTGGCACTATGATATTTTACTTTGGTTTAACAGCGAGAGGTTAGGTATTTCTTACACAGTCAGCACACATCCACACACACTGAGCCAAATCTCTGTGCTCACATGAATATGAGTCTTCATCAAAGCATGATATATAGAAACACCTCGGATTTTGTTTTATGATCACTATAGGCAAATTTGTAAGAATTTCAGTATTTCTGGTTTTATATGTAAGCGGTCTATTGCCATTGATTCATTTCAAAATAAAATAATAAAGACTAGGCAGACAGGAAGTACAAGCCTTCTCTTTGTTCCCAGGTTGGGGGAGCTAAACTTCGCTAAATAGTCGTCAGCTATCCCTCTCCTCAATTATTAGAGACAAAAAAAAATGTGATTAAATTAAGTACCGTTAAAGAAAGGTTGATAATGATTCTTGGCAAGCATTGTATGGTCTTATTATTACCACGGAAGTATTTTAAACACTACAAATCCTTTCTTAGGTGGCCATGGGATTATTTTAACCGTGCACCTTGTACAGACACCTAGGAAGCCGGCTGGTGCCTCTCTCTGTTGCTCGTCGTGCCTTTGAACAATGGCTATAAAATGCGAGCTCGCTATTTCTACGGGGTGGCAGCTTGTTAGGCAGATGCAGCCGGCTCTTTGGCACGAACCCGAGGCGACATGGGGGGAGTGTTTGTTCTGCGATGCTGTTGGACTAAGATAAAGCAGAGCAGGCCTTTATGACAAGCACACACACAGACGGGCGTGCACAATGACACATGCTATTTCCAGGCTTACTGCACCGTGCATGCTTGTATCAGAGTTTAGGTTGTGTTTGGGATGGGTTGTCTAGATGTACCCACCCCAAGCCTAAATACAGCTTATATGCTCAATCAGTACAAATACATTGTGTTCTGAGTAACAACCACACATAATGTGAGATTTGGAACGTACACACATATTCAAATACTGAGACGGTACACCTTTGATCAAGATGCAAGTTTGTTTACTGTAGTTACTGTTCTTACATGTTTCATAATGCATGAGGAGAGAGAACCGTGTGATGAGGCGGGCATGAGGTGACCATTCAGCTAAAGTAGATGGTCTGCGGCCTGAATCCTAATATTCACTGTGCAGTAATGAAAGCCAAATGTCCCAGCATCAAAACCGTAAACATCCAAAGTCTGCCATTGTTTCCAACTGAATTACATCATGCACAGACTGTGTTTTTTAAGTTTTTTGTTTGGTTGAAGTTTAAATTTTGATGTAGATGAACTCATGTAAAAACGTTTTTTTTCTGGTATTTTTTAATTTAATAGTGCAAAATAGTTTTTAAAGGTGTGTTGGATCAGTGCATTCAGCTCACCTCTGTCTCTTTGAACGGGGGGGTAGTTTCTGGGCTGCGCGGGAAAAACACGAGCACCAAAGTGATGGTGAGAGCTAGTAAAAATATGGGGATAATGCCTAACCTGCAAAGACAAAAAACAGACACGGGACACACATAGTAAATATACAACAACCTGGGTATAAAACGAGGTGTCCCACTGCTGAAGACTTGCAGTAAACAAAGGGTTTTCTGCGGATTACATTTTCAAGTACCAATTAAAAAAATTGCATTTTTTCTTCGGTTAGATAGTTGTTAACTTTCCAAGCCAAGGCCACCAAGTTTCTGTACTGTAAATGCATCGTACACAAGTGTACATTGCTTGGATTTCCAGTGGATTGTAGACCAAAATAAAGCATATTTAATAGTGTGGGGGTCTGTTGTACTCTGCACAAGTACTCAGCAGGGACAGTTGATCCCAGCAATGGATTAATACAGCAGCATCGAGACAGACAAATACTATTGAGTAAATTAGTAATATTTAGACAGCAACATAATAGGATGAAGTTGAAATATTTGTGTGAAACCCAGGCAATTGTGAAATAAAATACGCAAAACGTAAAACTGCTGAATACAGCTTAAATTGTCTCATTAATCTAAACTCATTAAGTGGGACTTTGATTCCTATAGGTCTTCCCTTGAACACACAACTATGATCAACAATGAGCTAGGGTTTCTGAAAAGGATTTTTTGTTACATTGTATTTGAAATAAAAATGTCACACAAACGCCGAATTGCCTGAGAACCCGTACTACTGCCACTTGCTGACGTTATCTTTCTTTCAGGAGATGTGCGCTATGGTCGACGTTCAAACCAACATAGAGCGGAGGAAATGTTGGGATATTAAGGAAACTACTGATTCGCATTGACACATAACCGTTGATCCAGTACGTTTTACCCGGGGTTGTGTGAGGAGTGTGTGGAGGTGCTGTTCTCACTCACTTCGCAGATCCAGATGCTCTCAGCAGCATCATCCCAAACACAACAAATGCAATCCAAACGATCGAAATGATGAACACGCCCGTGCCCACTTCCAAAACGGTGTTTGTCATTTTCAAGCCACAGCCACAACAGTTATTCAAGGATTTCGGCGTAAATAGAGTTTACGACCGATTTTCGTGACATAATTTAACTATCGTTCACCAGTGTAGGTTAGCTAATGTTAGCTACATTAGCTACTGCAACGTCCTCCGTAGAGCGAGACAGTTAACAGTTATTTAAGCTAGCTCTCGCTGCTAGCTCTGCTTTGCTAGGGCAAACAGGGCATGATTTGTGATTAAGTGTATCGATGCTCGATACGCAGGTCCCCTGTACCAATGCCTATTTACTGCCCGTTAACACGCAGTAGCTCAATCAATTCAAGAGTCATGGCGTTCTCCGTCGCGTCTTCTACTTCCTGGTAACAGCAAACTGGAGTTTGATTGGATGCGCCAACTGAAGACGGGCCATTTACGTGCATCGTTACTGGAAAAGCGAACACTGGAGAGGAGACAAGGAACTTCACCTAGCTCTTCCGACGTTTTAATCATCCCTAGGTTTCAAATATTTTAGTTTTCACTTTCGTCTTTGTACGTAAATGCAACATATCATCCTGATTCGAGGCTGGAAGCATTCTCTTTACCTCTAGAAGTTTTTTTCCTGCTAATATATTGTCTTATTACCATATAAAAACGTTATCGTCCATAAACATTTCATTTATGAGCCAGCATCGGTGGGAAATGAGTAACAACCACCAACATCAGCTACTGAAATGTAAAACTTCACATTAGGTAATTTGTCCAATCCGTTTGTTCGGCTGGCAAAAATAGATTCACATGATTTTGGTGTGAATAGACGTTGCTAGCAGCCTTCTGTCTCCTACCATCCCACCCTGTCTTTTGGAAGCATGCAATTACAAATGCAGACCGACAGGGGGCTGAACCATCCGCGGCGCGAACATGGGCACGCGCTCAAACGTAGTCCCGCTCACACGGTGCACAGTGTCAGAGTGCTTACTGGGGAAAAAATCATGTTGCCTTTGAGTGACCCTCGTAAAATCTAAGCACCTAGTAATTGTTAATACAAGGCACACTGAGGGATTGGTTCATTTAAAAAACTAATGACAGCAAAAACTGACTGATTAAAAAAGTCAGTTGTCATTTGTGTCGTCTGCTTGAATAGCAATAAAAATCTGTGCTCTTTACATGCTCTCTAGAATGTCATCCGCCTGTCGATACCAGCTTTGACAAGAACGCACAAGCTCGGGGCTAAAGTTCCCCCAGGCTAAATCTATTTAAGGACGCTGATAGGCTAAATTGTATGTCATATTATTTTATTTAATCAGCAATTGGCTACAGTGCTTCTTATACTCTGTTCTGCAGGCAATCTTGACATTGCCCCCAGAGCAGCCAGACGCATGAAGACAGGTTGTGTATATGACAGGCAGCGACGTAAAGGGAAAACCATATATGTGTCTTATGAAATGTTTTCATTATTGATGTTTTCAGGGTCTATTTTCTCTTGTGATCTATTCCTGGCCCAATCATTGGTGAACCTGAATTGGAGAGGCCAATGGTGGTGTGGTGGTTAGCTGGGGATTAGGTTGATGGGTGACTCTAAATTGCCCATAGGTGTGTGGATGTGAGTGTGAATGGTTGTTTGTCTCTGTGTTAGCCCTGCGATTGCCTGGCGACCAATCCGGGGTGTACCCTGTTAGGCATAATGCGTGTAACATTCCACTCTTTTCTCACCAGAGATGCCTCATTCTCACAACAAATGTGGAACCAAGTGACTCAATAAAATGATATGGTACCCAGAATAATTATAATATTAATAATATTACCAGGTCTATATTATATTCATCTTCCAGTCACACACAGGAAACATACCATATGTATTAGTGTGGTGTTAGAAATGCGGAGAATTAACTGTAGGTCTTGATTCCTTCATTCAAACTGATGAGGAAAAAATATCAACAAGTAATAAAGTCTTTCCTTCTTTTGGTGCTTCATCAGTTCATCAGCATCGCCGTTGCGTTCTTGTAGAGCCCCTTTAGTGATTGCCGTATTTCCCACGGACACGGGAAGGCATCAGCAGCTTGGTGTTGAGAAAAAAACCGGGGAGCGGAGATGGAGGTGGGAGGGGCCAGGCGCGGCTGACGTCAGCAGCTGTGTGGAGGAGTATAGGCTGTGCTGTCAGCCCAGTGTCAGTCTGATGAAGATTGGCATGCAGGTAAGCTGTCATTCATTTTCAATGTCAGTGCATGGGAGCAGGGCTTTACCACTTCAGGGTTTCCCCCCCGCCCCCCCCCCCACCCCCTCCCCCCTTTCATTACAAAAGGCAGGACATTATTCATACAGTCAGCCAGGCCAGAGAGAGAGAGAGAGAGAGAGAGAGACGGGGAGAGAGAGACGGGAGAGAGAGTGAGAGAGAGAGAGAGAGGGAGAAAGGGAGGGGGAAGTAGATGGGGGGGGAGAAAAAAGAGAGAGGGAAAAGGGGAGACGCATTTTAGAGCTGGACTGAGAGAACGGTGGATTTTTTTTCTTTTGCTTGATGCGGCGTTTGGATAAAAAAAGAGAGTATGTTGGTAATGTTTGTGGTGCACGTATTCAGGCTGTGTTGCTTTTTAGTGACGGGGGCTTTTAATGCGAAAGGTTTTCATTTAGAGAATGATCGTAATAATAGAAGTAATAAGCGCATGTAGCTGCAGGAAGCTGGCAGGTTTATTACGGCTTTGTCAACGAGGACCTGGCTGCTCCACGGCATTCTGATTATTTGTACATTTGTATAACATTCGATGTTGTAAATATTTCCGTGCAAGAAAAAAAGAAAAAATACCCCAGTTTTTTTCTTGTTTTTACTGCTGCAGTTTCCTTAATGTTGAAGTTGCGTAGTTGGTTATATTTGAAGTAAAATGCTTTTATTTTCACGGACAGAAGAAAATTGTAAAGAATTTTTAGAGTAAAACAACTTACATTCACTTGGATCTAATTGAATACGAATAATACATTGTATTGTAGACAGTAGTGCCACTATAAGTGTGTGTGGCAGTGTGTGTTGAACTGAACTGAAAAATATAGGCTACCACCTTTTTTGGTAGTTTGAATAATTTCAAATCAGGGATTTACACATTGAGAATATATGGTTGTTAACATCTGCTTTTTTGAATGTTTTCAATTAACACACAGCATCGAAACAAAATAGTTTTTTTGACTAGGGTAATGTCTTGCATTTATTCCTGTAAACTGCTGCAAAAAAAAACATACCTTCCTCACTTGAATTTTAAAAGGTCGAACAGGAATTCTAACCCTTTGCATTTTTTGGAATATGCGTAAATAGTTGTTCAATGCTCAATTATCTGCATCTCAGTGTGGTCTAATGTTTACTCCCAGCAGTCCCTACCCCGTGAAACCCCTTTACACTGAACACCGGCCTTCTTTGTGTGCCACTCACTTTCTATTTCAGATGACCGATTCCGCAATTTCCCAAATTACTATTTTAACTCACAGGCGACGCTCGATGGACATGAAATGCTGTCAGTGGGATATGTCGGAGGCAGTGGTCCTTACACAACTTGTGTCTCTGCATTGATTTGTATGATCATTGCATGAAAAAACATTGATTTGCAGATTGTTTGCTGTGTTGGTAGTTTTATGAGTTTAGTCAAACTCGTCTGTTCAGTCTGCTTTGATCTTGTCTTCTCGAATTGCACATAAGTGTAAATACACAGATTTAGTGAAAACACAATTCTAAATAAAGTTGAGGAGATATAGCCGCCGTTACTTAACTGTCACACTTTGTTGTCATCTCTCACTTAACATCACAATATGTTGCAAAATGAAGGCCCTTCTCTGCAGACGTTGGCGTGTGCTTTGGTAGCACATTAGCCTAATTAAATATGCCTCAACCATTTGTTTACTAATCATCTGCTTCCCTGAGAAATCACAATGGTGATTCAGACCACTTTAGATCCCTGCTTCCAACACATCGGGCAGGTGCATAGTGCTGAGCATAGAATCCCAAGAGGTGAACCTGCACCATGGTGAGAGAAAGCATTTTGAAGACCAAAAGATGATCATTATTTAATGATTGCGCACCTTTGTCAGTGTCTCAGAGTGGTACGCTTCAGCTGGGAATGGAATTTACACGCAAGCACGCGCAAGTCAAAGCACATCACCGCTAATCATCCTCAGTGGTGGTTGTTCTTTGTTTGTGATGAACCCTGCACGGCTCTACATATCGCCAGATAAGACCAATGCCAATTTAGTTTATCCCCAAACCCTGCTGAGATCTTAATTGATGATTTGTGTCATTGGACAAGCAGCCCGGGGGCGAATTTGCTGCAGCAAAACACTCTGTATTTGCATATTGTCATTGCTACTATATGGGCAAATTACATGATGCGGTGTGACGCTGTGCATTCCTGCAGTTTTGGGGGGAATAAGCGCTAATAAAGTGATTCTGTCACACTAATTGAAGAAAGTAAACGGAGCGAGGAGAGCATATGTTACAAACCAATTTGAGCATTTATGTATGGCCATAAAGCAATCGGGGAAATTAAACCACAAAGGAAATTTCTTGTCACTTCCTTTCGCCTTTGCCTCTAATTCCAGCATTTATGGTGAAGAGGAAAAATGCATTATTTCTGAAAAAAGACTATTTTTTTCCTTTTCTTTTAAGGGTCTTGTAAGGCTTGCTTTGCAAGACTCCTTTCTTCAGCAATCTAATTGTGAGATGAATTTTTTTTCACAATTCCTGCCAGATTTTCTCTTAAATCTGGCAGGAAAAAAGCCAGAGGATGTTCAGAATTATTCATAAGGCTTGAGTTTGATTCGTATCCTCAGCGGAGTGCATCTAGGTCCTGTTCCGGGCCCGTGGGCAATGCAATGTAGGCTAGTTTTTTCTCATGTTCAATAGAACAGCAATCTTAAAGACAATTGTGTTGTGTTGCATGTTCAGGGCCTTGTCTGGGCCCCCCACAGGTCATGCCCACTAAGCCCGCTTGATCCCTATTGCTCTCAAGAGGAGACGGGGGCCTGTTTATTCCGTCAGACGGCTCGGCTTAAAGCCAGCCCCTGCATGCTTACCCTTGCTCATTCTGCAGCCAGTGCTGCGTTGGCATGGCTCTAAGTAAGCCACCAGGGAGCAGGGTCGGAGGGAGATGGATCGGCTTGATTTATGCTCCAAGAGGAGCAGCAGGCAAATTTAATGATCCTTTGTGCAATATCACAGAGCTTTGTTCCTGGAAGGACATAGAGATGTCATGAAAATACATGCAGATTACTACAGTTTAAAAGCTGCAGTCAGATGGTGACTTTTATGTCAATAGAACACATAAATGTAACCAGGTTTCAAACAGATCTAAAGAGCGGCAACCATTCATTGGTTGGTTATTAAATTAATTGCCCACTATACAATATTCAGATG